CTCGTACATAATTGTGATCTGGGGGAATAGATTGAAATAACACTTGTGACATTCTCAAGGTGAGTTCCCGGTTACAAATGTACCTTTAAGGAGACCATTTCTTCAAGAATCCATGTTATACCACACCTTTATTGAACGAATATTGAAGCTGAGGTTATACATTTTGTTGGTTGGTTGGTTGGTTAACGCCGCACTCTGCAATAGTCCAGCTATATGTGGCGGTCTGTAGGTAATCGAGTCTGGACCAGACAATCCATTGATCAATGTCATGAGCATCGCTCAAAGTGCAGTTGGGATACGATGACATGTGTCAGCGGAGTCAGTGAGCCTTACCACCGGGTCCCGTTACCCAGCTGACACAGAACGTTTTCGCATCGTTGTAGGAAGGTTTGGATTGGTAACGTCATGACACAACGTTAGTATTACGTCATTTTATAGCGTTATGTCACAACGTAATATAGCGTTGCAAATTTACGTTGTGGAAACGTTATGCTTTGGGCTACTCACAACGTTATAACAACGTTTCGGATAACTTGGTGTCACGATAGAGTTTTCTGTAAAACGTTTCACTTTGAGACTCTTTCTTCACTATTCAGTTACAGCTTCAGTAAACAGGACCAAAACAACATGCAAATTGACGAATAAACATTGAAGTGAATTTCTACTTTGTTTCTTATGTACTGTTCACTACTGGGAAAACTATTCAACTACAAACTTTAAATAGAACGTTAAGACGACGTAAAATACGCTAGCATCAAATAACTTTAACCATGTGGCGACGTAAACATGGCGTATCACAACGTCAGGCCACAACGTTGAGACAACGTAAATGGGATTCCACAGAATAACGTTGTGACCACGTGAAATTGTGAGCCGATTAGTCGCCTCTTACGACAAGCCTGGGTTGTTGAAGGCCAATTCTAACCCGGATCTTCAGGGGTCGTTGAGGGTATAAAGGAAGTGTGGTTGAAATGTGATATTTACATGACATCTGGGTGATACAAACTGATGCAACAGTAGTTAGGTCCCTAGCATGGAACCCATTAAACAGAAGGGTGACCGACACTGACATAGCTGCTCCGGTTAGTCATTTCACGTTATTATTCAGGGTTACATTATTATTAAAGGGTCTATAGCAGGTTCACCTGGTGCTGGTCGTATATTTCTGTTATAACTGTTAAGATAATTGCATTAGAAATTGTAGGTCATCAGACTACCGCAGCCTGACGCTATTATATGATTAGTCGTCACAAACATTATCGCATGCTGCACGTGCAATGTACGGGTCAGGGAATAAAGGGCGGCAGTCTTGTCGCAGTCGTCACCCAGTCGACATGTTGTGTGATTTGTGTATGGAACAATCAATGGTAATAATTAACGAACCTAACAATTTCCAAACCATGGCCTATGGCTTGAATATTGGCTTTAAACAACAAACAATAAATAATCAACTCTTCTTTTGAATTTCATGTTTGATTTTACAACTCAATCAAAAAGACATGAGACAATGGCGTTAGAGCAGCTGAATCTAAGTCGTGAACTTGTAACGTGAAGCCATAAGGCGGCTTGTGGGCAGGGGAAAGAGTGAGTATAGCTCTACGCCGTTTTTAGCAATACTCCAGCAATATCATGGCGGGGGACACCAGAAATGGGCTTCACACATTGTATCCATCTGGGGAATCGAACCCAGGTCTTCGACGTGACGAACCAACGCTTTAACTACTAGGATTCAACCATTCATTATGCTGGAGGAGGCCAAGAGTATTCATCGAAACTTTACGACACTCTCTCTCAGAATCAGTTTGCCCATCAATGTTTTGGGGAGTCCCAATCCATAATTTATCGGCGCATCATGTTTTCTGGCCCCGATTTCTCGAAACAAACTTAAGTTTTTACTCAAATTTCAAAATGAGTTGGACAATTTGAAACAGCTGAATTTTCAACTCTTTTAAATAAAAAAGCCCAAACAACTTAAGTAATCTATCCACCAAACACAAATCGTCTACTATGTTTGAGTTTCATATCGATTTTAGTTCATTCTGGGAAATGCATTTTCTCAAATTTGAGTAAAAACTCTAACTTAAGTCGAAACTAAGACTTAAGTTTGTTTCGAGAAATCGGGGCCAGGTTTCCTAAAACTGAGAAAACATTCTTTCCAGTATCTTCGGGAACACTCTGCTCCTCCCGAGGATCACATGATCATCATCTTATAATAAATTATATATTTTATCAACACAAAATATAAGAACTTCGCATCACATGAAAAGCAAGTTTCTGAAGGTCAAAGCTAAAACACATATAAACAAACAAATAACGACGTAATCTGCCTAAATGTGAAAAATAATCTTTGAAGAAAATGTTTCGGCTGTTGACTGCCATCTCAAGTCAAAATTCGACTGACAATATATACCGAGCAGAGCGAGTACTATTCAGGCGAGTCGGACAAAGTATCCCTGCGCTCCAATCGCTCAGCCACGTTTCGTCGGAATCATCGCCCTCATTTGAGCTAGTGGTAGAAACCTATTATGAAGGCGGTTATTCCTAAAAGAATCACTGCATTTATGTCAAGCCATAATTTGGTTTTCGGCTTCTCTTTGATGGAGGTCAGCTTTGCTTGGATGGCCTTGGCCTCATCTTCAGAGAGCCTGTCTGGTCGCTTCTGTAGGCCACAGCATGCTTGCAGTCTGGACAGCCATTCCGGTGCCTCTGAAACAGTAAGCAGTATATCGTCCATTGAGTACCGTGGTTGGGAGTTCTTCTCAGTGACAAATTCACTGAAAGTGTGCTAAAGACGCGGTTAGAATCTCATGGCACTCCTAAAAGGGCCCTAACGGACAACTAAAAAGTAAAGTGTGTGAGAGTGAGTTGTGTTTAACACAGCTTTTAACAGTATTCCAGTTATATCGCGGTGTGTCTGTTTCATAAGGGATGAAAGCCCGAAGTTACAATGTTGTGTCGTCGGTATGAAGCCAACGATAGTTGCCATATTTGGCGTGTGACATATTTGACAAAAAACAAACTCTTTTCCATCCCATTCTTCTTTTCGATGTGTAATAAAACTCTGAGGAACCAGAAAATCATAAATCATATATTATGTATATACCAAGAGCTCGGCTATTATGATGAATAACAAATGTGGTGAATATGTTCTATTTCATATAATAGTGGATATTTGTAAAGCGCCAGTGTCCATCCACTCATGCATGCTCATGGCGCAAATGTTGTGTGTACCGGATCCTGTTATATGTACCGGATCCTGTCACAGTTGAGGGGCGTAAGGCTTCGCAGGGATGAGCAGAGCATAGAACGTATAAACTGTATACGGGCTACATTTATAATCATGATAACATATCGATAATATGTTCGGGAGAAGGCGACCATACGTGGTGCACTTGGGCCCAATCCCTTTATCCTTTGGACAATAAAGTATATTTAAAACAATATATATTCAATTCAATTAGTCAATGCGTCTATATACCAGACAACCTTTCCTTCTGTCGTGACATGAAACCATAAAAGAAATCTGCAAAACAGTTTGATTTTGAGAATACTACATTTCGAGTGGCCAAAAGAATGAATTGACAAGATGGCGTTTGTCAGTTACGATGGTAGAAACGTCAATATTATGTTACCATTTCCATTGTTCGGATCATCACCGGCGTCGGCGTCAGCTTCATCTTCGTCATCAGTCAGATCAGGCAATGTAACGTCATGTCTAGTCCACCACGTGACTCGATGTAACTAAATCGTAATACAACCCGTGAGGAATACACATCTTTAGGAGACACGTGTAAATGACGATCATGTATGTATACAGCAGGCTTTGATCTTCTCACACGATGTCAGCCCGGAGGTAATGCAGAGGAAACATTTGGTTATATTGGGGCGACGTAAGTATGAAACTTACATGGCATAGTAATTGGTATTCCCTGACATAAATAAGCAGATGAGAATGTTTGTCTTAAGTATTACCGGGGCGGTGGGGTAGCCTAGTGGTTAAAGCGTCCGCTCGTCACACCGAAGACCCGGGTTCGATTCCCCACATGGGTACAATGTGTGAAGCCCATTTCTGGTGTCCCCAGCCGCGATATTGCTGGAATATTGCTAAAAGCGGCGTAAAATTATACTCACTGACTCACTTAAGTATTACCGGTATAGAGTAAATGGTTTGTACATTGGGTGAGTGTTATTGAAGAGCTGAGTTCAGCCCTTCATGTGTTTGTGGATGTATGAAGGTAAAAGAACAGGACATTGTGTACTCTGTGTTAACCCGCGTATGATGCATCACAAATCTCCGTTCGTATCATTCATAGGAAACAATGAGTAACCCGTAAGAGTGAGTGAGTGAGCTCAGTTTTACGCCGCTTTTAGCAATATTCCAACAATATCACGGCGGGGGACACCAGAAATGGGCTTTACACATTGTACCCATGTGGGAAATCGAACCCGGGTCTTCGGTGTGACGAGCGAACGCTTTAACGACTAGGCTACCCCACCGCCCAGTAATCCGTTAGAACGTGTGACCTATGGTTTACGGTGTTGTTTATGGAAACATTAACATTGGGTAAACCAATTACAAGCCACAGAATCGATTGCATTTTACGCATTTCATAATAGTCTTCGAACCATAGGCTATCTTTACCACTTGCCATTTCTCATTTCACATTAATATTTTAATTTCATGTTTAGTCTCCATTTACGCCGTACGACATTATAACAAAAGAGTATACAATCAAAGAGTTGCTACCAATTGGACATAGAATTAGGATTTAGGTCGAACTCAGAAGACATCAGAATTGGGCTTCAGATTGTACCCGCCTAAGAAATCGAATAGTGGAATTAATCGTGACTAGAAATACTGTGTGTACTTGGCTGACAATAAACACCGATATACTATAAGCAGCAGCTAAGACAAGCATGTACCTTCGATCTGGGGCGTGACTCAGTCATGAGACTCAGAACGATCATGACCGCGCCCGAAACCGCCGTCTCCATAGCAGACACGTACAGGAAGTGGATCTTCAGGAAGTAGATGCGGTTGTCTTCCTCGCCACAAGGAGGCGCTGGGTAGACAAACGCCAAGATGAGACGCGAAAACCCGACCGCTTGGCCAGCCAACATGCCATAAAAAGCTGCCTGCAAAGGAAGGGTGAGTGAGTGAGGGCATGTTGTTTTAAGCCACACCAGCATTTGAGCAAGTTTGCAGCTATTCACTATATACTGTGTTTTTTCATTTAATATATATCAGATATCTTTTTAAAGTGGCATTTAGAAGTTTGACTGAAGGGGACACGCCGATTTATGAATATTCCACAACATCACGGCGGGATACACCAGAAATGGGCTTCACACATTGTGCCCATGTGGGGATTCGAAACTGGTTTCGGTGTGAGATCCAACGCTTTAATACTGGCTAACCGCCCCATCATTTAGCTTTGATAAAGGACGTTTCGGTGTAGAGCCTAATACTGTTAACATCATTTGCTTGATAAAGGTGTTAGGATCTACTCCGAAACGTCGCATCTGTTGCAATAAAGATGTTGTCCATCCATACAAAGTGTTCCTCTTTATATCAGATATGTTTGTGTTTAAACCATAGTATGTTTGTTGTTTAACGCCGCAATACAGCAGTATTCCAGGAAAGGGGACGGTCTGTAAATAATCATGTTTGGACCAGACAATCCAGTGATCATCATCATGATGAAACGATCTATGCAACTGGGACATGATAACATCTGTTAACCAAGTCAACAGTCCTGACCGCCCGATCTCGTCAGTCGCACATGCACACGCACATGCACGCACGTACGCACGCACTCACGCACGCGCATATTAAGGCCTTCTCTCAAGGTGTCACCTACTCACAGGCTCTGTTGTTCTCTTCCAGAAGAAGCCCATGATGAAGACCATGGCCCAGGGAGGCCCCACCGCCGACATCAGCATCTGCCAGTACTGCCACAGCTGGTCCCCCTGTGCCGCCTGCATGATGGGGATCCATATGACTGCCAGACCCACCAGCACAAGAACAAAACCCTGGAGACACAGACGTCTTCAGTGAGTGAGTGAGTGGGTATGGCTTAACGCCGCTTTTAGCAATATTCCAGCAATATCACATCGGGGGACACCAGAAATGGGCTTCACACTTTGTACTCATGTGGGGAATCGAAACCGGGTCTTCGGCGTGACGAGCCAACGCTTTAACCACTAGGCTACCCCACCGCCCCCACAGACATCTTCAGTGACTACCGACAATCACACCATGCATTAAGATGTATACATATACTGAACTCCATTAGAAACGCATCACCGGGATAAAACGTTTTATCTCCCTGATATATGAAGAAAAGAACTTGTCCCAACTGTCAATGGGCAATCAAGATCCACTGAACAGTCACCTTCGTCGTTTAATGCCGCCATAAATGCAATAACATTGACGGGGTCAAACTCAAAATGTGGTCTTTTTCATTTGTCAAAGTGTGTGTGTGCTGATGGTACCCCTGTCCACGTGTGTGTGTGCTCCGCCATTGCAAAACATTAACCTCAATGCGGTCTTTAGTTATTTTCAGGGCGTGCGTGTGTGGGGTGTGGGTGTGGGGGTTTCGGTGTGGGGTCACACACCCCTGAACCCCACCTCGTCCGTTCCTTACACGAGTGAAGAAATGGAAATGTAATCATCTTGTGCCATTTTATCGTAGGCTCTGTGATAACCTGACGATATTTGAATTGTGACTATAAAACCTTCTGGCCACTTGACCTGTAAACAAACCAGTCTCAAGAAACCAAACAGGTCCTTCTCTCTCAATACAGTGACATTATGTAAAGTCGACAATTAAGCGCTGTTCAAAAGTTAGCCGTGACTTGGTACAGAGTTGAATAATCTGTCAATATGTTGTTTTCGTTTTCTTCATTATTTTTTCATTTCACGCGATTTACAGCTGAAAACGGTGGTATCACGCAGACACCAAAATGGGCTTAACACATTGTACCCATGGGCGTCACGAGCGATCGCCTTAACCACTAGGCTACAGATATGCGCGTGCTTCTCTGTGTGCACCACCGTTATCTGCCACAGTCAGAATACTTCACGCTCAGTTTATGTTCACAGTCTCTTTACATATTCCATAACTAATGATAATAGGGTGATGCGTTTCTATTGGATTTCAGTATATATATAAAACGTCAGAGTCAGAAACTAGCCCAAACTGAAACACACAACTTTATGGATGACAACTTCTTGTTCATTGCATAGAGCGACGTTTCCATGTAGATGTAGATTCTTACACCGTTATCAAGCTAAAAGACGCCGAACCAGATTAAGAAGACCTTGAAGGCTAATTGATATTCATATGAATTATTAATCAATGATGACATCACTTGTTCTCAAAAATGAGCTGCCCTCAAACTAACGCCAGCTTAATCGTGATCAGATCGGCAACCGCTCCCGAAAGTTCTGCTGCGAATCGGGTCGCAATTGGATCGCAATCACCTGTCGCGCCAGGTCGTAATCAAGCTTGTAGGTGCGGAGTATATTTTGTATAAATATACACGAAGTATGCATACTGTGGATAATTATGACGTCTCCTGTGACAAAAGATTAACATTAGTATTAACTGCTGGCGATATGCATATGACATTCTGTCGCCTTTCATATGTCCTGTTGAACATTAACATCGATATTGGTCACCCAGATGAGGCCTTCAAACACCGGGCTGTACACTTACATACAGAATTATTCACCCACATATCGTCTGTCATATGCCGAGCTGAAAAAATTAGTTATTTATTCAAATAACTCCGTTATATATCACGTGCTGAAATGTACACACTGGGTATCCTAATTTATTATCATATGAACTATATGCTAACATGTGTGATATTTGGAATTACACTTTTTGAGTAAAGTACAAAATCTGGTACTTTTGTTGGGTTGAGTCCCGTCCGAAACCACACCCTCAGAGTCAGGCACCTAATGGCCAGCACACAACCTCAGCCGTCTAACCCACTCAGCCACCACAACTTCCACTTGTGAAGTATCATGGATGGAGGTCACACAACCACACACCCAACACACAGCCACGAAGACCTACACATCAAACACACAGCCGTATACATCTACACACCCAACACACAGCCTCACACCCAACACACAGCCACAAAGACCAACACATCAAACACACAGCCGTATACATCTACACACCAAACACACAGCCTCACACCCAACACACAGCCACAAAGACCAACACATCAAACACACAGCCGTATACATCTACACACCCAACACACAGCCACACACCCAACACACAGCCACGAAGACCTACACATCAAACACACAGCCGTATACATCTACACACCCAACACACGCCTACACACCCAACACACAGCCACGAAGACCTACACATCAAACACACAGCCGATACATCGACACACCCAACACACAACCACACACCCAAAACACAGCCACGAAGGCCTACACATCAAACACACAGCCGATACATCTACACACCCAACACACGCCTACACACCCAAAACACAGCCACGAAGGCCTACACATCAAACACACAGCCGATACATCTACACACCCAACACACAACCACACACCCAACACACAGCCACGAAGGCCTACACATCAAACACACAGCCGTATATATCTACACACCCAACACACGCCTACACAGCCACGAAGGCCTACACATCACACACACCGTATACATCTACACACCCAACACACACACCCAACACACAGCCACGAAGGCCTACACATCAAACACACAGCCGTATACATCTACACACCCAACACACGCCTACACACCCAACACACAGCCACGAAGACCTACACATCAAACACACAGCCGTATACATCTACACACCCAACACACAGCCACACACCCAACACACAGCCACGAAGACCTACACATCAAACACACAGCCGTATACATCTACACACCCAACACACAGCCACACACCCAACACACAGCCACGAAGACCTACACATCAAACACACAGCCGTATACATCTACACACCCAACACACAGCCTTACACCCAACACACAGCCACAAAGACCTACACATCAAACACACAGCCGTATACATCTACACACCCAACACACAGCCTCACACCCAACACACAGCCACGAAGACCTACACATCAAACACACAGCCGTATACATCTACACACCCAACACACAGCCTCACACACCTACACATCAAACACACAGAGGGGCGATGGGGTAGCCAGTGGTTAAAGCGTCCGCTCGTCACGCCGAAGACCCGGGTTCGATTCCCCCACATTGGCACAATGTGTGAAACCCATTTCTGGTGTGCTCCGCCTTGATATTGCTGGAATATTACTAAGAGCGACGTAAAACCAAACTCAGTCAGTCAGTCACACACACAGCCACACACGCCTACACACTGAACACCCAACAACACACCAAACACACAGCCACGAAGGCTACGCTGAAATTGATCACTTTTGTGACTACGCACCTCCCAACAATGAGCAACTCGAAGTCCTTGGCGTGTTTCCTGTACCTCCTCCACAGATCCATGGTGAAGATGCTGCTGGCGGAGTTGAAGACTGATGTCAGCGTACTCATCACTGCTGCAAACAGGGCGGCCAGCATCAGACCTCTCAGGCCTGAAGTGAGTGAGGGAATTGGACTTACGGTGATTCAACAACACCTATTCATAATATAGTACACAGCTATGCTTTTATCAGTGAATTTGTGTGGACATAGTAAAGGTTTCCCCATCTTAACATCTCGCGTTAATTCGCCATATTCAAGAAATAGTGATTCGAAAGAAATATCCCGGCGGTGGGTCTTCTTCGTATGTGACCTTCACACATTATACACATGTGGGGAATTACATACCCACATACCAGAATGTTTGAAATACATAAAAACAGGGCAGCTGACATCAGATCCCAGACCTACATTCTGTTCAGGACATTTTTTGAGAACATTAACTAGGCCTAACAACAGTTTTGACAATAATGACATTATCGTTCACGGGATATCAAGGATGCCCCCAAATAAGTGAGAATGTGCTAGTTCCTCTCCTTTCAGATAAACAATTGTGTGTTAAAAGGCTGTCACAGAAAACAAATCTCCAAGAACAGCTCCTAACAAAATTAATGGTCAGTGATTGGAGTATCAAACAACAGGAAACTCCTGGAACAGTCCTGCTCTGACCATAGGGATTTCTTATGTCCCTGACCCCATATCTTAAATAATCGAGCATAACAATCACTACTTCGAGATTGTTGATGATGGCGGTTCGGGGTTTACCTGGGCCGAGGATTCTGAGGACGAGTAATGGGTAGGCAATGTTTGAGCATCCGCTTGGATTTTCACAGACACACTTGCATACCTCCGGATCTGCGCATGCGACTTCATCTGAAACAGACACCGGTTATTGACTTTCATGTAGTGAGCAACGTTACTTTGTGGAATTGATGGGATTTAAAATGCCACCTTTTATGGAATGATGCAAATTAGTAAAATTGTTACCCTCCCTGGCGCTGGACATGAAGAGGCCAGTCCAAGGACTGTATACTGTGTCTGACTGAAGTATCAAACTGTGGCATCGCAGTGGACAGACAATACAATATACCGACATTAGTACGACACACATGTCGCTGGACATGAAGAGGCCAGTCCAAGGACTGTATACTGTGTCTGACTGAAGTATCAAACTGTGGCATCGCAGTGGACAGACAATACAATATACCGACATTAGTACGACACACATGTCGCTGGACATGAAGAGGCCAGTCCAAGGACTGTATACTGTGTCTGACTGAAGTATCAAACTGTGGCATCGCAGTGGACAGACAATACAATATACCGACATTAGTACGACACATGTCGCTGGACATGAAGAGGCCAGTCCAAGGACTGTATACTGTCTCTGACTGAAGTATCAAACTGTGGCATCGCAGTGGACAGACAATACAATATACCGACATTAGTACGACACACATGTCGCTGGACATGAAGAGGCCAGTCCAAGGACTGTATACTGTGTCTGACTGAAGTATCAAACTGTGGCATCGCAGTGGACAGACAATACAATATACCGACATTAGTACGACACATGTCGCTGGACATGAAGAGGCCAGACCAAGGACTGTATACTGTGTCTGACTGAAGTATCAAACTGTGGCATCGCAGTGGACAGACAATACAATATACCGACATTAGTACGACACACATGTCGCTGGACATGAAGAGGCCAGTCCAAGGACTGTATACTGTGTCTGACTGAAGTATCAAACTGTGGCATCGCAGTGGACAGACAATACAATATACCGACATTAGTACGACACACATGTCGCTGGACATGAAGAGGCCAGTCCAAGGACTGTATACTGTGTCTGACTGAAGTATCAAACTGTGGCATCGCAGTGGACAGACAATACAATATACCGACATTAGTACGACACACATGTCGCTGGACATCAAGAGGCCAGTCAAGGACTGTATACTGTGTCTGACTGAAGTATCAAACTGTATACTGGCATCGCAGTGGACAGACAATACAATATACCGACATTAGTACGACACACATGTCGCTGGACATGAAGAGGCCAGTCCAAGGACTGTATACTGTGTCTGACTGAAGTATCAAACTGTGGCATCGCAGTGGACAGACAATACAATATACCGACATTAGTACGACACACATGTCGCTGGACATGAAGAGGCCAGTCCAAGGACTGTATACTGTGTCTGACTGAAGTATCAAACTGTGGCATCGCAGTGGACAGACAATACAATATACCGACATTAGTACGACACACATGTCGCTGTATAAGTGCGATAATCTTTAAAAAAAAGTCTTACCTCATCTCACCTCAACTCACCCTTTTACTGGCACGTTTTACGGCGTACCAACAAGGTAGTGCACTAAGGAAATATTCTCTGTTATGGTTTCCACTAACGCTCAGGATACAGTAACCAGCTTATCAGGAACCGTTCCTTCAGTACCTGGGTAGAGAATCCTGGCTACCATCCCTGGCACCATGAATAACCAGAACGGGAGGATCTTCAGGTACCCCGCCAATATAGACCCGCCCTTAGCATGGGACAGATTCTTAGCAGCAAGAGATCGTTGTACCATGATCTACAATGAAGCGTGCAATATAACATACGGTATTATCCAGAGACCCGTGTACAGGGATCTACAATGGTGATATATAGCATTGTTCAGAGACCCGGGTACAGGGATCTACAATGGTAATATATAGCATTATCCAGAGACCCGTGTACAGGGATCTACAATGGTGATATATAGCATTGTTCAGAGACCCGGTACCAGGATCTACAATGGTCATAAATAGCATTGTCCATATACCCGTATACATGGATCTGAAATGGAAATATGTAGTATTATCCAGAGAACAAATTCGATTTATTTAAAAAAGTATCATTCGAAAATATATTGTTTGATACATTCACATTCAGAAGAGGCTCTTCGTTTTTGTACGGAAAATATACCCTTTTCTTCGAAACGAACAGTTTCTCTAACATTAATCACTCGGGGTTCTTTTACAACGTCGTCGTGATTTAATTAACAAAAACGATTCTATATGAGAATGAATTACCTTTTAGAAATGCGTGTGTTTAAGTATGGGTTTTATGCCGCTTATAGCAATATGCAAATAATGCCACACAGGGGTAAACAATATTGTGAATAATCGAACTTTGACCTTCGGCACTACTTTTCTACCGCATCGCACGCAAATTTAAAAAGAAATTAAGATGATTGAAGAGAATGAATTACAATGTAATTACGTCGTTCCGTATTCCTGCCACGCGACTTAAGGGACAAACAACAACAGTTGCCATCTGGACTCCACTGTGCAGTGGAGGTTCTGTTGTATTGAGTCAAGTCAATGAAGTTGAATATGCTCAGAAGTTGTTCGATCAAAGTTACAACATCCGAGTTCTCAGTCAAACTTTCAAAATGTTTTATCAGTTACAAAAATGATGTCCGATGCAAATCCGTATCTGGAGTAGCCTTTCCTTGTGCTTATGGCGGATACCAACGGAGGGGAAGTGTACGCTCAGGTTTTCTCGAACACCTGGTATCGTCACTTCTTGATTCGAATTCATAAAAATATGACCATGACATAGTCGAATTCGAACAGTCGACTATGCTCTTGGCCGGTGAGTGAGTGAGAATGGTTTTACGACGCTTTTAGAAATATTCCAGTAATATCACGGCGGGTGTCACCAGAAATGGGCTTCACACATTGTACCAAAGTGGGGAATCGAACCCGGGTCTTCGGCGTGACGGGCGAACGCTTTAACCACTAGGCTACCCCCACCGCCCCTCTTGGCAGATATTTGTTGTGGATGTGGAAAGGGTTCTCTCGCTTTTATTTGTACCTGATCCGAGCACCAGAACCAGATGTCGCTGGGGATATTGAAGATCATGGTTCCTGGCCAGGGGTAGTCGGACTTGAGGGGGTCAGGATCCCGGAGCAGGCTGAAGGAGTCGGCCCGGGGGATGCCGCAGGTTGTGTTGCCATAGATGGTAGTGTTAGGGAGTGCTTGCATGAACTTTGTCTCCAGTTTGTCGTAGCCTCCTATCTCCGAGATACCTTCAACAGCAGAGTAAGTTGGGGAGATAGATGGGAAACTCGATACTCATAAGAAGTTGGAACAGGTTGTGTCGGATTTTAAACGAAAAGGTAAACGATTCACTGAAAGTCGTGCAAAGTTTCTGTTGTGGATGACTCTTGAAAGAGCGGTCAAAACGAATATTGTACTTCTGACAATCAGCCATAGCAATTCCTTTGATCTAAGTGTTATATTTGTATGTGGGTTATTGTAGCGAGTTTTGGTTTACGCCGCTTTTAGCAATGTTCCTGCAATATCACGTCGGGGAACACCGGAAATGGGCTTCACGCATTGTACCAATGTGGGGAATCGAACCCGGGTCTTCGGTGTGAGGAGCCAACGCTTTAACCACTAGGCTGCCCCACCACCCCTAATGTGGGTTATGGACTTCACAGTCAGAAAGAAACCAAATGTGATTTTTGTTCCGAGCTTGTTCTAAGTGTTGGTTAGATGTGGGGTAACAAAGAGTGACAGCGTTTGATTCGGGGACATTTTGACACATATACATAAAACTATAAGATATTTCCTTCTTGTTACTAATGGATGGATAAACTATTTCACAAGAATCATTATGTAATGATACCTATTTCTGCTGAGAGCGTGTGACTCATTGATTCAGTTGATATTTTCACATTTCTTGAACCTACCTATAAGGACGGAAGCATAGCAGGGCCACGGTGAAAAAAGGTCTCACTATGTCCTACGTAGGACTTAATATCTCCTACGTAGGACTTAATATCTCCTACATAGGACATAGTATCTCCTACGTAGGACTTAATATCTCCTACGTAGGACTTAATATCTCCTACGTAGGACATACTATCTCCTACATAGGACATACTATCTCCTACGTAGTACTTAATATCTCCTACATAGGACATACTATCTCCTACGTAGTACTCAATATCTCCTACATAGGACATACTATCTCCTACGTAGGACTTAATATCTCCTACATAGGACATAGTATCTCCTACGTAGGACTTAATATCTCCTACGTAGGACTTAATATCTCCTACATAGGACATACTATCTCCTACGTAGTACTTTATATCTCCTACATAGGACATACTATCTCCTACGTAGTACTTAATATCTCCTACATAGGACATACTTTCTCCTACGTAGGACTTAATATCTCCTACGTAGGACATAGTATCTCCTACATAGGACATACTATCTCCTACGTAGTACTTTATATCTCCTACATAGGACATACTATCTCCTACGTAGGTCTTACTATCTCCTACGTAGGACTTAATATCTCCTACATAGGACATAGTATCTCCTACGTAGGACTTAATATCTCCTACGTAGGACTTAATATCTCCTACGTAGGACATAGTATCTCCTACATAGGACATACTATCTCCTACGTAGTACTTTATATCTCCTACATAGGACATACTATCTCCTACGTAGGTCTTACTATCTCCTACGTAGGACTTAATATCTCCTACGTGGGACTTAATATCTCCTACGTAGGTCTTACTATCTCCTACGTAGGACTTAATATCTCCTACGTAGGACTTACTATAACCAACGTAGGAGATACTGAGACTAAAAAATATTTCACCGTGGCCCTACTACGGTTCCGTATATAAGCAACGATGCCATCCACCTCAAAAAAATCACCGACGATGTCAACTACCTTGGCACCACAACACAAGACGACGTCATCAATCTGATGACAACACCCAGAGAAGTGACCTACCTCTAACCAACAGGACGAGGGCACCTCCTGTCAACACCACGGTCTGCAGCGTGTCCGTGAACATCACAGCTGTCAGTCCACCTGACCCACACAGTCACAAAGAATCTTAGTTCGTGACATATAACAATGAATGCGTGAGTGAGTGAGGTTCATTGTCAATTAAATCAACATTCATTTGTCAATTATGGTCAACATTGCTGAGTTTTGTTTAATCCGCTTTTAGCAATATTCCAAATATCACGGCGGGGACACCAAATGGGCTTCACTCATTGTAACCATGTGGAAGAACCTGGGTCTTCGGCGTGACGAGCCAACGCTTTAACCACTAGACTACCCCACCGCCCCTTATGGTAAGGAAGCTATATGTGATGAAGTGCATGTAAATAAATCGTGCTGACAGTCAAAACATCATCATCACGGATCGGTGGATCCTGGAACAATTAAGGGGCGCAACTCCATAAACAACCAGATATCAGTACCAATCAGTACCAAGGACACATTGAAGCTTTTAAAAGACAGTGAAATAAATATCTCTTGCTCTGAATATCAACACATGTGTCCTGTTGAATAAGACACAAAGAGCATTTTCAGAGGTGAGGCTATGTTTGAGTATTTGAGCCCGCTAATTCAAATGCAACCCAATCAGAGATGTCAGATCAAATGTCAGAGAATTCAGCGACAACGGCAAATCTGAACAAATAATTTTCTTGACGCCATTAGTATAAAAGAACCCTAATCAGAAACATATCCGGTGAACGCCTTTACTATGTAGCCATAGGGTTACGTTAGAACAGACTCGTTATGTGTTATCATTGTTTTTTACCGCCAGGTCCGTTATTCACAGTTTACCTGTCATGGTGAAAACTGCTGAGAAGACCAATAGGAGAACCCCGGAGGCGTACATACTCCAGCCTAGTAGGAGCTGAACAAACACTGCACCAGCATACATCTCTACCTACAAACATACAGTATAGGCATAGATCTCTACCTTCAAACATGCAGTGAAGGCATACATCTCCACCTACAGACATACAGTGTAGGCATACATCTCTACCTACAAACATACAGTGAAGGCATACATCTCTACCTACAAACATATACAGTGTAGGCATACATCTCTACCTACAAACATACAGTATAGGCATACATCTCTACCTACAAACACACAGTGTAGGCATACATCTCTAACTACAAACATACAGGATAGGCATACATCTCTACCTACAAACATACAGTATAGGCATACATCTCTACCTACAAACATACAGTGAAGGCATACATCTCTACCTACAAACATACAGTATAGGCATACATCTCTACCTACAAACATACAATGTAGGCATACATCTCTACCTACAAACATACAGTGTAGGCATACATCTCTACCTACAAACATACAGTATAGGCATACATCTCTACATACATACAGTGTAGGCATAGATCTCTACCTACAAATATACAGAGTAGGCATACATCTCTACCTACAAATATACAGTGTAGGCATACATATCTACCTATAAACATACAGTGTAGGCATACATCTCTACCTACAAATATACAGAGTAGGCATACATCTCTACCTACAAATATACAAAGTAGGCATAGATCTCTACCTGCAAATATACAGTGTAGGCATAGATCTCTACCTTCAAACATGCAGTGTAGGCATACATCTCAACCTACAGACATACAGTGTAGGCATAGATCTCTACCTCCAAATATACAGAGTAGGCATATATCTCTACCTACAAATATACAGTGTGGGCATAGATCTCTACCTACAAATATACAGTGTGGGCATAGATCTCTACCTTCAAACATGCAGTGTAGGCATACATCTCAACCAACAGACATACAGTGTAGGCATACATCTCTACCTACAAATATACAGTGTACATCTCTACCTACAAATATACAGTGCATACATCTCTACCTACAAAACATACAGTGTAGGCATACATCTCTACCTACAAACATACAGTGTATAGGCATACATCTCTACCTACAAACATACAGTGTAGGCATACATCTCTACCTACAAACATACAGTGTAGGCATACATCTCTACCTACAAACATACAGTGTAGGCATAAATCTCTATCTCTCTCTACCTACAAACATACAGTGTAGGCATACATCTCTACCTACAAACATACAGTGTAGGCATACATCTCTACCTACAAACAGCATACAGTGGCATACATCTCTACCACAACATAGGCATAGATCTCTACCTTCAATCATGCAGTGTAGGCATACATCTCCACCTACAGACATACAGTGTAGGCATAGATCTCTACCTACAAATATACAGAGTAGGCATACATCTCTACCTACAAAGATACAGTGTAGGCATAGATCTCTACCTTCAAACATGCAGTGTAGGCATACATCTCTACCTACAAATATACAGAGTAGGCATAGATCTCTACCTACAAATATACAGTGTGGGCATAGATCTCTACCTTCAAACATGCAGTTAGGCATACATCTCAACCAACAGACATACAGTGTAGGCATACACCTCTGTCTACAAATATAAAGAGTAGGCATACATCTCTACCTACAAACATACAGTGTAGGCATAGATCTCTACCTTCAAACATGCAGTGTAGGCATACATCTCTACCTACAGACATACAGTGTAGGCATAGATCTCTAGCTACAGATATACAGAGTAGGCATACATCTCTACCTACAAATATACAGTGTAGGCATATATCTCTACTTTCAAACATGCAGTGTAGGCATAGATCTCTACCTTCAAACATACATTGCAGGCATACATCTCCACCTACAAACATGCAGTGTAGGCATACATCTTTACCTGCAAACCTACATTGCAGGCATACATCTCTACCTGCAAATATACAGTGTAGGCATACATCTCTACCTGCAAATATACAGTGTAGGCATAGATCTCTACCTTCAATCATGCAGTGTAGGCATACATCTCCACCTACAAACATACAGTGGAGGCATACATCTCTACCTACAAACATACAGTGTAGGCATACATCTCTACCTACAAATATACAGTGTAGGCATACATCTCTAGCTACAAATATACAGTGTAGGCACACATTTCCACCTACAATCATACAGTGTAGGCATACATCTCCACCTGCAATCATACAGTGCAGGCATAGATCTCTACCTTCAATCATGCAGTGTAGGCATACATCTCCACCTACAAACATACAGTGCAGGCATACATCTCTACCTACAAACCTACAGTGTAGGCATACATCTCTACCTACAAATATACAGTGTAGGCATACATCTCTACCTACAAATATACAGTGTAGGCATAGATCTCTACCTTCAATCATGCAGTGTAGGCATACATCTCCACCTACAATCATACAGTGTAGGCATACATCTCCACCTGCAAACATACAGTGCAGGCATACATCTCTACCTACAAACATACAGTTTAGGTATACATCTTCACCTTCACAAGCAATGGATATACAGTGTTGGCTAAAATAATGGTAGAATCTAATGTCCATATCCAAATGAATTGTTCAAGGTTCTACAAATAGGAGACAGATGACCTATTCTCCCAGTCTCCAAGGAGATACTGTTCCAGTGGGGACATTTCCCCTCCCGCGAAACCTCTATAGAGATAAAACCATGGGATACTGAGGAATCGCTTAACGGCGGAATGTCTATTCGGACATGCCCATGTGATGACCTATTCTGCCTTGAAATTTCCTTGGAGACACGAGAATTTATTACCCTTAAATAAATTTGTCGAATTCTGATTGGTCGATAGCCAAAGCATACCAAACCATGTAGGTGGATTTACTAGGGTGTACGAACCGTACACCCCGTCAAATCTGCCATGTGACACACTACACGGGGTGTATGAATGACCTTGACCTTAGATGGAATGTGGTCGCCAAACGGCTGATCGCTTCGAAATTTTAGAGTTGGCGTATACAATTATGAGTATAAACAGAGTAATAAAATTGTTGTCATAATTTCTTATTTGTTTGTCAATAAATGTATCCAAAAAATAAAATGTTTCTGTATTTCACTTGTCGTTTAACAAAACCTCAAATTCGATAATTTTTATCATAAACTAAGCCATCCCGAGTTATCTCCCTTTATGACAGTTCAGGAAAAATCATGGCGAAACGTTTTGCCACACTCCGGCGCAATGATAACTTAGCATAACATCACTGCCACAGGCTAATTTGCATTTTACGTGACTGGTCTTTTCTCTTGTTTGTAACACAACGAGAAGAGACTGGACTTACGCAAACTATTCGGCGCTCTCTTCACAATGTTTTACATTGTTACATATATATTCTTCCACAACTGCGACAGTAAGGGTTATGACAGTACATATTTATATATCAAACTGGCTGCATCCTTTGCTCTCCGTCGGCTTCGATGACAGCACGTGGAGCCGTACAACCTATGTAAACAAAGGATCGCTATGCAAATCGAAATAGTGTTACACGTTTTAGGATATTTTCTCAGTGAAACTAAACCATTCTATCAAAGATGTTTAATTAGATGTGTAGATTAGTCAAATATAAAAGAGTTAGGAAATCTGTACATTATATCGAATGGACGGTGCAAGATGTGACGAATCGTCACATCTTTCTGGCCTGTGGCAGAGGTACTATGCTGGCTGGCCGCATGGAAATCTCTCATTCTAGATGAGAATGTGAAAGATAAAAAATTCGTCACACGGTGTTTTGAAAGGGTGTACGGGACTGTAAGACCCTTGTACATTCCGTATTCCCTGAGGCGCAGCCGAACTAATAGTAATACTGGGTATCCACGGTGCCCCTGTATGTACTATGGTGAGTGAGTGAGTTTATTTTTACGCCGCACTCAGCAATATTCCAGCTATATGGCGGCAGTCTGTAAATAATCGAGTCTGGAACAGACAAGCCAGTGGTCAACAGCATGAACATCGAACTACGCAATTGGGATTACAATAACATGTGTCAATGTCAGCAAGCCCGACAGCCGATCCCGTTAGTCGCCTCTTACGACACGGGTTGCTGAAGATCAATATTCTAACTCGGACCTTCACGGGTAGATTGTACTATAGTGTATTGTGTGTATCAATGAACCATACCGATATCTTGGTGATGATGTACAGCACCACAGACAGCACAGACAGGTACACTCTGAGTCTCGTTCTGCCGTAGCGCTTCTTCAGGTATTCGGGCATAGTAAACACCTACAAATATAGGTAAAATATCAGACCGGTCACATCAGCATTGGCTGTTAACTGGCGTATGGAATACGTACTAAGATAATTTGATACAGTATAAAACTTGCATAATATACAGTTCTTTCATAAGTGATTTCCTCTGATTTCGTATTAAATTGGTATACATGTATTTGGCATAGAAGCTAGTTCAGACTGACCCATCTGTTTGACGATGTGGAGCCTCATTATCCACAACCTCGTTTGTGGAGAAACCCTGCTTTCCTATTTATTTCAGAAGTGAGGTGAGGTGAGGTGAGGTGAGGTGAGGTGAGGTGAGGTGAGGTGAGGTCAATGCACATGTGAGGATCATTTTCGGGTGAACAAGTTATTCGAACATTTGGTTCTACCAAGGGTAGCGAAAGGAGACTCTTCATTAACATAAATAGATAAATACGGACTCTTTCATTGGGAATAGTATCGTTTTTACGTGTTTTTCTTGTAGTTGGCCGAATCGGTAAGAACAGAAGATAATTTAAAACGGTATAAAACTTGTATAATATACATGTACCTTTCTTTCATAAGTGTTAACGGTAAGTTGTAAAATGCAAATGAGGCTCGTAACAACCTCGACTGGTTTAAACTGAACAATCTGTTTGAAGAAGTGAATGCTCACTATCACCAACCCCGTTGTCTAGAAACCCTACCTTCAGAACAATTACAGAGGTGAGGTGAGGTGAGGTGAGGTGAGGTGAGGTGTAACTCCAAGATTACGGCATTTATAAAGTGAACCTCATGCACGCATGTGTGAGGATCTTAATCGGGTGAACAGATTATTTGAAGCTGGTTCCACCAAGGGTAGGAAAGAAGATTATTCATTAACAAAGACTGGTTAATACGGATGCTTCCATTGGGAATGGTATCATGGTTTGGGTGAATTTAATCGAAAATGTCTTGCTTGCAGCACTAAGAACCTACCCCCGAGGATGTGAACACCGGCACAAACACCCACGACAGCATCAGGATGAAGGGAATAGCCTGCAGAGAAATGGTCAAAAATATTGCGAGGTACCTATTATAGTGTTTGATATTTGGGAATGTTTCCATGACACTTTTGTATATTATTAACGTGATGTTTCAATTTGATTTCTTACTATATTGGTACAGTTAGCACAGAAAGTTCAATAGATCGATATCTGTATCATAAGGTGAGTGAGTGAGTATGGTTTTACGCCGCTTTTATCAAAATTCCAGCAATATCACGTTGGAGGACACCAAAAATGGGATTCACACATTGTACCAATGTGGGGAATCGAACCCGGGTCTTCGGCGTGACGAGCGGACGCTTAAACCACTAGGCTACCCCACCGCCCCATAAGGTGGGTAGTATTAAATGTCTCCAACAGAAGTGGAGTAGTATACTTTTCACAAAAAGAAACGCAAAAGTATGAATGTCTTTCGTCTGCATGAATCGGGAGTTTTTCGTGCTGGTAAAATAAAGTACAGCACAGAAATATTGAAAATATATAATTTTTGCGACGTGTATGAATTGTTTCATACTGAACTGATGTTGATATTTCAGTTGGTTTGTTTGTTGTTTAACGCCGCACTCAGCATATTCCAGATATATGTCGGCGGTCTGTAAATAATCAAGTCTGGACCCCACAATCCAGTGGTCAACAGCATGAGCATCGATCTGCGCAACTGGGATACGATGACATGTGTCAACCAAGTCAGCGAGCCTGACCACCCGATCCCTTTCGTAGTCTCTTACGACAAGCATTGGCTGATGAAGATCAATTCTAACCCGAATCTTCACGGGTTTTGATATTTCAGACATATTACACCTGTCACTATATGGGTAGCGGACAACTAGTTGTTGATAGCTTGAACAACGACTTACATCGTCAGGCTACGACAACACATGATTAAACAGCGACCGCAGTGCAGTGAGAAACAAAGGGAATTAATCGGCTGAGTCTGTGATCGGAACCACGACAAGCGGACCCTGACTCTGTATGTGTATAAAACCAAAGGAAATAATCGGCTGAGTCTGTGATCGGAACCACGACAAGCGGACCCTGACTCTGTATGTGTATAACACTGTAGGTATATGTAGAGTATTACATGCCACTCAAAGATCATTCCGCCCACTCCAGAAGCAGCTGCAGTCCCAGACAAACCCACGAAAATAGGTGCTCCGATATTGCTGGCAAATATGGACGCTCCAATCTGAAATATGGGATCATCAGAGTCGAGTCAAAACAAACTGAATAGGAGGATTCAGAGGATGACTTCAGAGGACTTACCATTGTATCGAACTCTGATATGTCGAATTCTCGGTTTTATTAGAATGATTGCCCCGAGGGCAGTTCTATAGTGAAACTAACACATATTCAGTACAAGACAACATGTGATTTGGAATCTTTTCTCGAGAGTGACGAATTCGAAACAGCGGTGTTCATGCGTATATATAATACTCGAAATAACGTGTTTGGTTGAGAGAACAGAATTGAGAAAAATATTGGGTATATGTTGTGCACACGATATATCGAAACTAATGGTGCTGTTTGGGTATACGCAGAACCTTCACGAACTAAAATCAATGAATAAGATCATAGCTGTGTGTCAAACATGAGAATAACAACAATTTTGTTCGTTTCTGTAAGAACAAACTTTCTTTTATTTCCGACATATGCTGTCTGTCTTACCGGGAGAAATGTCATGCTCTTTCCCGCCAGGAAATACCCAGTGGCGCTGGTCTTGCTGGCTCTCACTGTTGCCTGAAATGTACATAGTTTCATTGTTTGTTTGTTTGTTTGTTTGTTGTGTAACGCCATACTCAGTAATAATCCTGCTATATGGCGGCGGTCTGTAAATAATCGAGTCAGGTCCGGTCAACCCAGTAACTGATAATGTAAGCATCTTCCTAAGCGCGACTGTGACACGATATCATGCATAAATCGGTCAGCAAGCTTGACCAACAACTCGCTGCGAATTGTTGAATAATTACTGGCGAGGCGTTAAGCAATACTCGCTCATTGACCACCCTCACCCGTTAGTTGCCTTTCACGGGCACGTAAAAGTTGATGAGGACCCATCTGGATCTTCGGTAAAGTATACCGTTGAAACCCCTTAGGTTAGACATCCTTTGAATAATATTCTTATAATGATATGCTATTTCTTGGAATGTATTGTGAATTTGAATTAAATTGATACAAGGTTACTTTCATCATTTTAAAGAATTTATCAACTTATAAAGAGCATCACGATTGGCACTATAATCATGATCAACAGTCAGAATTGGAAACAACTCTTTTTCTCAATCTCATACACACGTAGAGTGAGTGAGTGAGTATGGCTTAACGCTGCTTTTAACAATATTCCAGGATTATCACGGCAGGGGACACAAAAAATGGGCTTCACACGTTGCACCCATGTGGGGAATCGAACCGGGTATTCGGAGTGACGAGCCAACGCTTTAACCACTAGGCTACCTCATATACAAATGTAGAGGACACGTTGGCGAGTTTCAAGCTTTATATATCTTTGCTGTCACTGCCGAGTTGTCAGTGAGCACCGTCAAGGACGTTGCAACATATACACCCCAAAGCGTCCATAATAGCAAAACTTTCTGATGAAACTATAATCTTAAATTCAATATTAGATGTCCTTCTTGAGTAGTATAATTACATAAGAGGACATGTCGCAGGTTCGATAAAAACCAGATTCCGTTATCAGCTCCTGGTTCCTTCCACAAAAATAGTTTTTTCAGGGTTATTGCGTTAAAAATATATATCACTGCTCTGATTGTCATGTTTTGATTCCATAAATTAATACGTCACCAATGACATCCGTGAAACCTGAAAAGGTACGGTCAATATCACTTCAGGTCAAACCAGTACCCGTGTGTAGGTCGACATATACTATCCACAATACTATAATGCTTGTGTACCAGGATTTATTTTCAGTCGTTTTGTAAATTGTTTTATGATTTAGTATTGAATTTTAAAGGTGTGGGGAAGCATGACACAAAACATTAATATTTCAACACAGATTCCAACTGGTTACAGAATAGGGCTGTGTTTTGGCAAATATATTGTATTGCAATATATTTCGATTCAGGTACACGTATTGCAATACGTATTACGATATATTGGGAATTGGATGTTTGACAGGAAGTGACACTAATCGTGCATGTCAATCCTATTTTCTACATCATAAGTCCCTAAATATATATCTTATGGTTCTGATAACAGCAATCTCAATATTAGGCTGCATAGTCATTGATTCTATTTTCTTTTATACAATTTACAGCACTACAGTATGCTGTTTTGTCATTGAATAAGGAAGAAAAACATTTTCTGTGAATGAAAGAATGTGTAGATTTTAATTTAAATCATACAAATAATCACAAAAACTTCATATATGTTCATATACATGTATACCAGATGTCAGAAAACTATTGCAATACGTATCGTTTCAAAAGGGTATTGCGATATAACGGTAAACTGGTAATACCGTGCAGTCCTATCAAAGTGAATTACCTAATCTGTATCCTCGTACATATATACTCGCAATGTGTTAACAGGTGCTTGGAGACCCGAGCAGCACAATGTGTACATGTATCTCGTTGAAATACATCTGTATGACTCAAGTAACGCAGGTCACCTGTCATCAACGTCCGTGAAATGTGATTTATTATATTCACTGAGGAAAACTCGGAGGTCAGAGTTGTTCTTAGACATGTCGTGTTGCAGTTTAATGTAAATGATACAGTATAAACTCATAACTTGCTGTGTAATCCTCACCCATATTCCAACGGCAAGAACCACTGCAAAGTACAGCGCTATAGTGAGGATGTCTCCCCAGTGTAACGAGGTCGTCGAGCTGATGCTTTGACACAGGGGTTCCGCCATGGTGAATTAAGTCTTCTTATAATCCTGAAGTTAACCGAGAATGTATCATGAAAAACACTGATCCGATCAGAAAAAAATATATATCTACAATGTTGTATTAGAATTTTAACTCAATGAGCACATTGGGGACTCCGGGGTAGAAAAGGTTCCCGGAGACGATTTCTAGTATCGTTGATCCAGACCAGCCGTGCATCCTGGAACAACGATGCGCTCATGTTATCAACCAGTGATACGCCGTACCCAGATTCGATCCTTGGCATCCAGCCACTCGCCTAATCTATACACAGATATACGCACAAACAATAAGTAGTATTGCTTATAGTTGATAGTTTCAATATATTTTTAAAACCATCGGGAACTTTCTTTTGAAGTTTTGATAATGATTTTTATAAAACAATCCACCTTGAAACAAGCTTTTTTTTTTTTTTGTTTTGACTTCATGTATGCATCTGTTCATACCATGCACTACGTGTGTAGCATATTGCATAAATTCACAAATATAGCCGTATTAGCTGAGGTGCCTGTATTCGACCAGGTGCCTGTATTCGATCAGGTTTCCGTTCTACAAAGCGTTATGTTAGTATATAGTAGTTACGAAACACGTTACGTTGTAGGTGCCCTATAAGTATAGATGTGTACAGAAATAGGTGCACTCAGGACGAAAATGCTAGTTTGCATAGTAACGCATGGTCTTACTGGGCTTTCCAAATTGGCCATGCGTATGCTTACTCACGCTACTCCAAATGAACTGGTAATGGTGAATTATCTTGCGTATTGACGTAAATCTCCAGCTTAAACTGTGAATATCAGCAGAATGTTGGCTCTGCAAAGCTTCATTATTGCTTATTAAATCAGCCTGCTCAAGCCGTCTCATTATAAACATACATGCACCAAATCACCACCGTAACAACGAAACATTGCAATAACGTTGATGTATAAACCGTTGCGTTTCATACTCACAGTTGTGTCAGCAACGACAAGAAAACACAAATCTCCCTGCCTGGAAATAAGTCTACTCCATATTCAAGATTATATATTCTGACATTCTATCATCTTCACATATATTTGCTCCACGGAATATACAGAATACACAGACTTCACATTCCTGACCTGGCAAAGGATCGGGACATAGACAAGGTTGTCATAGCTCTCAGGTAAAGGAGCGTGGATAGGCATATACCGTATTCCTGGAAGTAAGCGTCTAGGTCTCACAGAGGGTCGGTAGGATTGCTTTGGGAACAGCGTCGGTAATATTGCTAGAATAATGCTAAAAGCGGCTTAAAACAATACACACTCCAGAGCGTATACTATTTTTCAAAGGAGGTGTGGTGTATTGGTGACAAGGAATTCAAGAGTATTTCACTCACATGACGTGCACACAAGTCCATGAGCATGCGTGTTTGTGTGTGTGTGTTCATACTTCAGTTGGATATTTAATACGTAGAATACGGTATGTGACAAGCCGACGTATGCATGTGACGGCGACACTGGTATACTTGAGTATGTAAATATGTACAGTGCCCCGTTGTCAGCTTAGCCGATATATGAAAGACAAGGAAAATAAGATAATGCCAAGGCCACCTAGAGTTTCATATTTACAGGGAGACTGACCCAGTTGTCCAAGATGCAGTTAATCACATTACGTGATGGAAAATATGCGTGCTAGTTCGTTGTCTTGCAGGGGCTCAAAGCTGCCCCATAGTCAACAATCAAGTCCTTACACTTTCAAATCGTTACTCGGGGGGACTGTAGTGTATAACCAAAACGCACGCCAAAACGCACGCTTCCAGGGCCGAAGTTCTCTAAAGGAAGGGGGCAGGGCACTGTCCACATCAATACTTTGATATACAAAAACTAGTCTGTAAAACAATGCCCCCATCCCCCACCCCACTCCGGTCTACCTAAGACCCTGAGAAATGATTCCTTATCATAGCTATTCCATAAGTTGCCAATTGTCGTAATGTTTAGGCTAATTTTACACGTAGACTGGCAATGATAATCTAAACTTACGTATAATTTTGATAGGTTGATCAGCAGCATCGAGCACTGCCATATTCCACTCGTCAAATTAGAAGTTTAGTGTTTTATTGTATTTATATATTAGTTATTCATCAAACCCATGAAGATCCGGGTTAGAATTGATCTTCAACCATCCATGCCTGTCGTAAGAAGTGAATAACGGATCGGGTGGTCAGGCTCACTGACTTTGTTATATAAACTCTGTCAAAAAAGAAACGCAACCCCTGTATTTTAGAGATTTTGATCTGAAGTTTTAAGACGACACAGCATTTTTATTATTTAAGACAGAAGTCTGAAATTTGGCAGAATAATAACCAAGATGGGCATGTTTAAAATTGTCATTTCAAAAGTCATCTCACAGACACCAGTTTGTCACCAGGGGGGCGTCTTTCTCAGTATCTCGTATGAGCACCACGAGCTGCAATCACTGCACGGCATCTCCTTGACAAGAACGGATAAGACGCCGGATTCTTTCCTGGGAATGGCTCTCCACTCTTCCTGCAGTGCAACGCCGAGTTGTTGCAGCGTCTGTGGCGGCGGCTGACGTTGACGTACGCGTCGACCCAGAGTATCCCACAGGTGTTCAATAGGGTTGAGGTCTGGTGATTTAGAGGGCTATGGCAAGACATTGACGTTGGAATTCTGCAGAAAGTTCATTGTTGCACGTGCAGTATGAGGCCGGGCGTTGTCTGGTTGAAAAATCTGTGTCTGTTGGTCAATAATCGGGAGAAGGTGAGGCTGTAATACGTGGTTGATGTAACGTTGGCTGTCAGGTTCCCTTCAACGATCACCAAGTCTGATTTCTGGTTGTATGAGATGGATCCCCAAACCATAACGCTTTCTCCGCCAAATCTGTCCCCCCGTCGGACGCAGATGGGCGCAAAAACGTTCATGACGTCTCCCTATACACACGTTTCTTCCGTCGTGATGTTGCAAAAGAAAACGGATTCATCAGAAAACCAGATGCGCCTCCAGTTTTGTAAAGTCCATATCCCATACGTTGTTGCACCACCTGAGTCGTCGGCGGAGATGTAGGGGGCGTAGTACAGGTCCAACAACTGGTCTACAGGCACGTAAACCCGCTTCTTTCAGACGGTTCCTAATCGTTTGAGCTGACACTCTCCTCAAACCTGGTATTTGTGTGGCAGTCACGGTTGGTAGGGCATGCCGATTACGCAGGTGATGGACCCGGATGTACCGATCTTGAAGGGGGGTCGTGATTCTTGGCCTTCCACTTCTCGGGCGATCGTTGGTCAAATTGAAGTTGTTGTAGCGGCTCCAAAGTCGGGATATCGTTGTTTTGTGAACATTTAGGTGCCGTGCAACAGTTCCAAAACTTTCTCCGGCTTGAACACGACCAATGGCGATATTTCGGTCGGCAGCACTCAATCGTGGCATTTTTCACACAGCTTTTCATGCGACAAATGAATGAATATAATACGAAAGCACATGGGCTTTTATACACCCCTACATTAACTGCCATTTTCATGATTTGCATGTGTTTTTTTTGTGCGAAGTCACCATGAGGGTCATTTCATGCGTTGTGACGGAATAAGCAATAAAATACACTTATGCGTACAAATGCAGTTGTTTGGATGGTAATCTTCATTAATTACGTGTATAATTTCAATACATTCGAATAACATTTAGTTTGGAAGCAATAACTTCATTCAAACGAATTTTTCATATCTGAGGACAGGGGTTGCGTTTCTTTTTTGACAGAGTTTATCTGTTAGTTTCATGTAACATTTTACAAGTGGGGAGATCTTTTATAAGGGGTCGAAAGAGCCAAATATTCTACCAAATGCGTTACGTTTTGTTGGTTTCATATGTGACATTTTAGAGGATTAGGGGACCGCTCATAATTTATTGCTGGGTTAGGGGGGGGCGATGATTTTTATGGAGAGGCATGTACAATGTGAATCCACCCCCACCCCCACCCCTTTAAAATCATCATCACCCTCCCTAGCCAAAAATTATGAACGGTACCTCAGTGACCTCAAATTGACCAATTCTTTATTTGGACTTATCAGTAGAGGCTCTGGCTCTGAGTGACCGATTCACGATTCCCATTATTTTGTTTTTGTTTGTTTGTTTCATAATAAAACATATGTTATCAATTTATCATAAAAGCCTAAGTCTTTCTAAAGGTTTAAGTCTTACTAACTGTATAATGACATCCTAGTCAAGGATATCAGTTATTGGAGGTCACATGCAACGTAAAACACAACTTTGCAGATACTGATACCTTTAGGTATGGACTTACAGTAACAAATGATCAAAAATGCAAATTCAACTTATAAAGTTGAAAAATAACGCTATGAAAAAAACCCCGCCAAATCGGAGTTGAAACGATTCACTAAATTCACCCCACCTGGGGTGAAAAGTGGTTTCAACAGCTGTGCTGCGCTGTGGTGCGGTGCACTGCGCTCATGGCGCATGCGCAGTGAAACTGTGTCTGCCTGCTTGTCTGCTAATGACAATATGCAATACACAACTTCGATCATTGAATTACACAGACAGGCAGGTGTGATACTTGTACACATGACATGTTATGATGTCTGTTGATTGCAAAATGTTACACACAAAAAGTGAGCATGTATTTACAAAACCCAACATCTCTATACACACACAAAGAGTGTATCGGCAAATGAACCAGCCAATGAAAGGCTTCGTTACACTTATGCAATTGCACGCCCACCCGCTCTGACTGGGTTGGGTATCC